CACTGCACTGAGAACCTTAAGCCACTTCTGCATGAGTTCAATCCCCACCTGCCCAGGAGGAGATCCACACTGTGCGGCAGAACTCTCCTGACCCACCCTCTGCTCCCCTAAGCGGTGTACTTCTTAAATCTGCCTGTTCTGCTCCCCACTCTGTCTCTGGTGAATCCTCTCACCCTCTGCATCTCTGGTCTGTACCCCAGTTCTGTATGAATAAATAAATCTTTAAAAAATATATGTATGTTTATGCCAGACATATGAGAGGCTTCCAAAAGCACAGAAAATAAAATCATAAAATAATAATTTAAAAAAAAAAGCTGAAAATGAAAATAACAAATGATTCTGCAATCTCACCCTTGGGCATCTAGCCAAAGAACAAGACACTGTCAATCCAAACAATTCCATGACCTACAATGTCTACAGCGTTATTATAGTAGCTAAGGCACGGAAACAGCTTACATGCCCACTGACAGACTGCTGCCTCAAGAAAGTGTAATACACATTCACACTGTGAATACAATTATTCAGCCACCATGGATGCTGTCATTTACAGCAAAATGGAAGGAGCTCGAGGGAATCATGTGTAGCAAAACACATCAGAATGACAAATACTATACATTTACATAAACAGATGACTTAACAAAGTAAAACACCTATAAAAACTAGTAGACCAAAAAAACTCAAACTAGTAGACATTAGTTTATAACGTGAGGTTTCTGATGTTAAAAGGGAAGGGGAACAAGAAGGGTCAAGGGGGGTATAAAGGATGACAGTGGTGGGGGAAAAACAAAACCTTTTGCCAGGAACTGTGCCAGTCAATTAACCAATGCCTCATTTACTCCACAAAAGAGCAAATCTATTTTATTCAATGTTTTGTTAGTGATAATCTTTACATTAAAATCTCCAAAACTTTGTTGAGAGCTATACAGAAAAAATAAAACAAATCAAAATCTAGCTCTATTCTTACTTTTGAAATCTTTATTAGTTTCAGTTTTCAACTATAAATTGGGACTAACAATGTTTTTATGCTTCATGGATGAAATGACAACAAAATGGGATTTTATCAGTAGCATAGTGTCTGGCACTAAGAACTCAATTACTGTTAACTTTTTTTTTTTTAAGACCATAATAGAGGGCAGGGCTACTACTATAAGAAACCACAGATCAGTTAAAAATTCTAATTTCTACACTTTTCCCATAATCCCCACTTTATCAAATGTCCTCCAGAACTTAAAGCCGAAGGGTCCAGAAAGGGATGAAGTCGTTTCCCCAAGCCAGCACTTCTCCCATCACTCTCCTGTTCTTTGGCACTTAACTATCTCACAGAGTTGAAAACTACAACCCAAGGCAAATCAGCTTGATATGTTTTTGTACTTTTACTGGTATGATTAGCCTCTAGTTGTTTTCCCACTCCAAAAGCAGAGTGAAGCAGTGGCTAGATGTCCCACAAAGTCTAAAATATTTACTGGTTCTTTACAGAAAAAGCTGCCAACTCATGTAATAGTAGGTAACAAAGCTATGTGCAATACACAAAAATTTTCCCTTTTTATGAATGGTCCAGTTTTGCCAAATACACTAAGATCAGAGAGTCCTGAACACTCCCAGGAGGCTTCCAGATCAGCAGCAGGTCACCCTACCTAAGCAGATAAGGACACTTGGAAGCCCTGGTAGGTGAGGGCTACCTTAAAAGGCTCCCAGAATCAAGTGCTTTGACAGACGCCTCCCGGCACTAAGCTCCCCAGGAGCAAGGCAGTACAAGTCACTTTTGAGCTGGAATAAGGAGAAACAACTCAAACAGCTCAGTCTCTGGGGCTGATAGGTTTAATTCTCCACACCAGGGAGAGGACAATTCTGCCCATTAGTCAACGCTTCAGCATCTGCTTCAAAAAGCCATATTCTCCTAGACTCAGGTGGTAAAATCTGACTCCGACTCACCACAGCAGGTCCACGAGTCCTCCCTGCCTGGCAATGGCAGACTTCACCCTATTTGCAAACTGGACGGCATCTTCATCTGCCTGTAAGAAAGAGTAAGACACTCAACCCTAGCCCAGTCAGACCTCTACACATGAAGACCCTGCTCAGTGTAGGTACTTACCTCTCTGGTCATGGGAGGCAGATACCAAACACTGCAGACAATGGCCCAGCTCGTCATCATTCTCAGCAGGTACGTCACCATCCCGTATTTGCTGCTGTTCCAGAAGGCATCACCAAACTGAGGGTCATACTGAAAACCAATGCAAAGCTGATGGTGAGAAGGCAGCAGTTCTAACAGTGGTAGGTGTCACAGTGACTGATCTGCTGGTACCCCCGAGGGAGGAGCAGCATTAGAGAGCTGCTCCCAGAAACTGCAGGAACACTGTGGACGTCACTCCACCGCATCTGCAGTTCTGACCTCTAGCAACATTAGCCTCCCTTGACTGACCCAAGATTTTGCTACAGACCATTAAGAAGGGCCCCAAACCCCTTCCTCAGAAGGCCTTCCTTGATAAGTTTCACATCTTCCTTATTCACAGACTATACTCATAACCTATTATTCAGTTTTTGAAGCATAATCAACAACACAAAATAGTATTAATAGGCTCCAGATTCAACCATTACTAACCCCTCCCCTTTTATAAAGCTATATCCAACACCTGGTCATTCTTCTACATGAACCTCCCCCAAATCTAATATTTTCCTACTTAAAGAACACTAAGAAGAAATGCTACTGTGGGGACCCAGCTCCTGAAAGGGAGGACTGAAGTTTAAACTGCAAGCTCTTTCTGGCCTCTCAAGGCCAAAATTTGTAATTCTCAGAACAAAAACCAGATCATCATGCCTTTAAGGTGGACCTAAGTACAGAAATGATAACACTTAGATTTAATTACAGAAACTAAAATGTCTAGATTTAACTAAAGAAGGCCTAATGAGTTCATACTACAATACCAGAAGAAAATAAGGGAGAAGAATGAATTTTAAACAGAAACTAAGGTAGACGAAGAAGAAAGTCTTGTATTATATAAAACAATGTGATAATGATTTTGGTGTTATGTTTGAGTCCTGTGTTAAGGGTTCAGTCTTTAGTCTATGTTTTTTTCTATAAAGAGAGAAACAAGGGAAATGTTCAAAATAGCAAAATAAATTCCTCAAAATCAGATGGCCTGCCTTTGGTGAAAATGTAGTAAAAGCCCTGAAATTGATAGTGTTACCCAAGTTTAGTGACCAATGAAAGCGTCACAAAAACTACAGCAGCATCTGTGCAGAAGCACTTAGTCACGTGGGCTTTACCACTTCTGTAAATGAGTGAAGTTACATGTCAAATGCAGGTCTATTTCTGTGGGAAGGGATCATAATTGTTTCAAGCATCATTCTAAGCAGCTGCCGCAACACCCGGGGCGGGGTCAGAAACCTAAGTTCAGGATTTCTGGGCATATGCATTTTCACAATCCCTCCGAGGTTACTGATACAGCTAAGATTTAAGAACAATGCTCTGCAGTGCACACTCGGGGCTCTGTCCAGCCGTTTGTTTTAAATAAAAACAAGATAAAGCGGCACACCTACACATATTAAAGTGCAGAATGGCACACGTTAGAAATGCCACGCCCCAGTCCTATATCCATGGTAGCCACTGCTAAGACCTCTTTTCTTTCTTGTTAAACCAGAACACAGAGCCCTCAGCAAATTGCTCCCCACCGCTGACGCATGCACAGGTCAGTTACCCTGCAGCCACTGCTCATGTGCTGTCCCTTATCCCTGCCTTATAAGGGACCAGCTGGACAGATTCTGCTTAAGCAAATTTCAAGCACTACTCTCATTCGGATTTACTGATTACTTACCCTGACCTGAGAATCTGACCTAAATATTTCAGACATGTTGACAACTGCCTGTTTTTTTAAATAACGTTAATAACATTGTTCTAGAAATAATAATATACATCTATTTATTCATAAAATCAGGTGGATGGGGGGGCAGGAAGGAGAAAAAGAGGGAAATTCACTGGCTAGCTGATCCTCAGTTCTCTATGTAGCTCCACTGTTACAGGTATGTCAGGCCCATACATTGTGGCAAGCTGTTCTTGATAGAGGAGGAAGAGAGGAGGTTTGGGCATTTCCTGGATGTGGTGATGCTGAACAGGTATGGGCTATTGTCCTTTTAAGAAGGCCAAGACACTTTCACATGGTCTCTCCAGCACTCTGCCCACACTAGCTTCACCCCACAAGGATCAACTAGTGACTATGGACATGCGCCTTCCTCCATCTCTTGCTGTGAGTGACATGCACAGTAGCTGTGAGTAAAGACATGCACCCCCAGTGGTCTTGTACCTTGATAGCAACAGGGTAAACTGTGGCTCCGATTTCAAAACTTCCCTTTTTGAACATCATCACTGATGTATTATTGATGCAGGTTCCTAAAATGGAGGAGAGAATAAAATGCTATTTCTTTTAATTCTTTATTCAGAAGATTAGGAATATAAGGACTAAATATAAATAAATACAAAATTCCGATGGCTCCACAAATAGGACAACTGTATCACCTTCCTAGTATATAAATGAACAATTAAAAGAGATGAACAAAGTTCTGTACCACTTTCTTTTTTGTTACACCACTTTCCAACTAGGCCAACTTCATCTAGGCCTACACACAAGCCTAGATGAAAAGGCAGACACCCAGCAGACATGGCAGATTTCAGTGAGAACTCTACAAAAAAATTAATCCCCCTGCACCCCCCGCCCACCCACTGGTAACATATGGAAGGGAGTCCTGCATTAGGGATGAGTAGAATCTTAGTCCAAGTTCTGAATCTCCCTAAGATTTTAGTCATTCAACCAACATGAAAGAGACTCTATGTTATTCAGTGTAAACAGGTAATCCCAACGGGAGCTGATGGACTGGGTTTCAAGTCAACATCAGAGTCACATCTGATGGTCTCCCTACACAGTAGCTCTCCATAGTGAATAGCTCGTCTCACCTTCTGGGAAAATGAGGATGGGCAGTTTGCTTTTATCCTGCACGTGTTCAGTTAATCTTAGAAGAGAAAAACAAAATGACCAGACAGCTTCATGTCAAAAAGCATTTATAAATAATACCTATACATGACATTCTATAAAAGCAAGGTAACAAATATGACCCTATCTTTTATAAATCTACAATCTAAATGTCATAAAGATAGAACTTATAAGGAAAGAGAAAATGAAAGGACTACTACTGAATTCATAAAACTCTTCAATTAAGTATTGAAATTTGTGCCCAGAGGCCACTACTCAGACTTGGATCTGTCTAAAAGGGAGGCCCCATTAATAGGGAGCACCCTCAAGAAATGCTCGTTACTGTCATGCTGGGCTGAACCTACAGTCCACCTGGCTTAACACTTCATCTCTGAGATGTAGCAAGTACAACTCGGTAGTAGGTTCATTTATCCCTGTGGAACATAGTTTTAGTGAAGTCTTTGCTCTTCCAGCTCACAGCAAAGCTCTTGCCATTACTAGTACAAATATACTTTTCAAGCTTGAAAAACAAGCAGTACTTTGTTTATTTGTGATTGTGAATTCATTTTAAGTTTTCAAACTGCATTTACATGTCTTATGCTTTTTATTACAAGTAGTATAGGAACAAAAAGGTTAAGAATCATTATTAACTTGGTAAGGAATACTAGAGTTTCCATAACCTTTACAGTTTATGTTTTACTAAAAAAAAACTTTTATTATGAAAGAACAAGCACATTGTAATTCCTCTGTGGAAGGACAACTACTAAAAAGCATGCTTTCAATATACAAACAGAACAGCAGATGGCGATTTACCTTTTAGCCACCAGGTGGCGATCTTTCACTTCAGACCGCTCAAACCAGACATGTGGGCAGGCCTTCACCATGGCTCTCTGAATCACGCCCATGAGTCCCCCGTGAACTTGACCCACCTACCTCAGACAAAAGAATAACCAGCAGTGAAGACACCCCTGTGCAATCCTAAACTGTGCAACTTGCCTCAGTTTCTACAATCTCTTACTTTCTAACACTTTACTGATAATCACAGCCTTCTTAACTACTATTAAGACAACCTGAATCTTATTTTTCCTTTTAAACATAGATAACAGAGATAACAGAGATGTGTAATTACAAACACAGTCAAGAACCTTAAGCAAAATAATACAGCTTTCGTAAAAATGCCCTCTGTGGGTAGATTCTTAAGTATCCTTAAACTGGGCCCTTTCAAATCCTCCCTATTTTTCCTTCACCTTTCTGTGGTACCCCTGAACACCCAAAGTCTACTCTTTAACCACACTTTAACACTGCCCAGAATATCTCAGATCAAAGTCCTACAGAGTTTCCAGAGAGAACAGAAACATAGGAGACACTTAAGGTGGGTGTCCGTTTATATACTTAAATTCTGTGAAGGATATAAGAGCCTCCCAGCTACAACCAGTCTAAAGAAATCCTGCCCCAAGAAAGAGCTCTTACCATTGCATAATAGCCATCACTGGCCAAAATGATGACGTCAATAGGAGAGGTATGATTAGCCACACAGATGCCACCATTTTTAGGCCTGTTTTCCCTGCATTTAGAAAATAAGCAAAGGAACAAAAATGGGTGTGAAACAATTCATCTGAAATTCAGTCCTGTCTTCACCTCACTGACTTCATCAGCTCTAAAAGAAAGCTCCCAGCACAGGTTATCAAGCCTTCCCTTGGTAACGACTCACCTGTCATGGTAGGTGATGATGGCTGTCAAGGCTCGTACGCAGATCCGATAACACATCAAGTGAACATGTCTACTCAGGAACTCCTTAAACCTGCAACAATAGGAGAAAGATTTTTGGTTTTATTTTATATCTAGAAAAACAAGGAAACTGCTTAGAAAACTGTTGTTTCCTAAAACTTAGCTATCACTGCCACAGTCCTTTAGGACTGCAAAATATTTTTATAAATATTACAGTATAGGGCAAAATCCTGTGTTAGCATCCTTATGCTGCATGAGAAAAAAAAAGAGAAATAATGAGAACTGATTAAATTCACCTTTCCTTAATGGGTTTAGAATTCATAGCCTAAGAATTGTCAGCACAGGTGAGACTCATTTTTTAGTGGCTGAGCAAAGGCCAAAGTCAAACTTCTCTGTCCGGGCAAAAGAGAGGTTTGCTAGTTCCAAAGCTTTCTAGAAGCAGTAAATTTCTATTTAAAAACACAGAACAAACAAAAGCCCTTTGCCTACATTTTTTATCTTCTTCCAATTTCCCGACACAGGACTGTTTAGAACATGCTGTAAAACCTGCCAGCCCTGGACTCTTCTGGTTTTTTGGTTTCTCCCTTTGTCTTTAAAATACAAAGTGTAAGGATTGAGAGACCAAGACCAGTAAAATAGGGGAAAAAGACTTTAATGCTAATGCTACTGCTATCGGAATCCAGCCAAGATTCTGTCCATTTGGTTACAACCAAGGTAGGAGCCTGGTCTTTAATTATTGGAGCCACAATTCCCAGAATCAAGTACCTTTCACATATGGACACTTGTGTCGGACTCACCTCCCATTTGGCAAGTATCCCACCACAGTTGTGCCCACCACCAGAAGGCTAATTCCCGTGAAAGCAAGAGCTATCCTGTAATAAGAAGACAAGTTAAACCAACGCAAACAAATCCTTGCACCAAATATAGAATTGGGCATTTGAAAATGAAAAGTGGTCATCACAAAAACTACTCCCAAGATCTGATCACCTAGGACCTGTTCAAGAGTTCCATCTAGAAATGCAAACACACACATCAGAACCAGAAGTTATTTAGATTCCAAGCAACCGTGCAGAATGGATTTGGCTCTCAGCTGATACCACTCCTCAGGCATCAGGCATCCAGAATGATGGAAAATCCTAAAGTTGGCTGTTCTGCCTCAGGCACCGGCTGTCATGCTGTCTTAACCTTCCCTTTGGCTTTACCCCCTGGCAGAAACACAGCTTCTCTTGAGGCAATAGGAAGTAGAGCCTGAAGGTACCAGCAAGACATACTCAGAATAGCACATGATACAGAAACACTGAGACGTCAATATTGCCTCTGTACTAGAGGGAGGCTATGGGGAAGAATCAGCCATGCCCAGGGAGAAGTGGCCAGAAAGTACACCATGTTCCTTGTCCCTAGGTATAGTCCATCTAGACTGGCAATTTGTCTTCACGAAACCCCAACTATTTCTATCTCATATGCAGAGAATCTACGTGCCTTTAAAGTGATAATCGTTAGGGCTCCCTTCCTAGAGTCAGGTGAACTGGCCAAGGAAAGAATCATACTGTCTTCTTTCTAACTGGAAAACCAAGCAAGGCACACAGGTAGGTAGTCATGCATCACTTTCCGACTTTGGCCCCATTAGGCCTGTCCTCACCTGAGTGGCAAGAGGAAGCAATAGCGAATCAGCACTCCTAACCCCCATAAGATGGTGAGCCGCAGGCTGATATACTGGAAATTATAATTGGTTCTGCTCAGCAGGTTCCAGGACTCCAACTCCTCTGCCGAGAACCTTTTTGTCACCTCATCATCCATAATAGTCTCCATTCCTTTCCGGCAAAAGTAGAAAATGTCAGAGAGCTCAAACTCTGGAGTATTATCCAGAGCCTTACTGCTACCACTTCGACGAATTTCTTTAATCTCTTCTTCTAGTGAAGTGGGATCTTTTGCAATTATTCCTGCAAAAGAGAACATTTCTATCAAGAGGCATGCTAGGGGAAAGCATGCCGAAAACATTCAGGACACATATTCTACTTTTTATATAGTGAAGGGTGTGTGGGGAATTGAAAACACTTAAAAAGATTTCTGAGATTTTTCAGGATAGGGTTAAGACCTGTCTTACCATTGGTATAGGGTTTGTACAGTTGGTGGTTCTTCTCCTTGGCTCCTCTTTCCATTCTCAAGGTAGCCCACTGTGGTGGGGAAAATGGCAACAAACAAGAATGAGGTTGTTTTTCATTCACTATTTTCATCCTGTGACAGCCTCAATTCAGACTGAGGCTGAGATTTCAGTATCTGAATTGGATTACATTCTATTTTTTTTTTTTTAGATTTATTTATGCATACAAGAACTGGGATGTGGGCCAGAGGTTAGAGGGGTGGGTGTGGTGAGAGGATTCACCAGAGAGAGAGTGGGGAGCAAGCAGAATAGGCAGATCTTCTGAAATACACTGCTGAGGAGAGCAGTGAGCAATATAAGAGAGGTTTGCTGCTGCCATGTGAATTAGCACCCTAGCTGGGGGTCGAAACTCATGTTACAGTAGCTGACTACAGCTTGATAGTGCTGTATCTTTAACCCGTAGCACCACTGGGGCGGCCCCAAAAGCATACCTTCTAAAAGGACACTCAAGCCCCCTCTTGTTAGAGCATCTCCTACCCCTCACCGGGCTAAATAACTAAGATCAAGTTAAGTCACCTGAGCTCTCAGGAAGGCTGTGTAAGTTTCTCTTAGCTTCTCATTGCTTAAATCTCTGTCTCTGAGTTACCAGCCCTCGCACATTCCTCCTTCAGATGGCAGCTATTCACAAACAGCAACATTAAGCATCTTCTAAGTTACCACCTAATGCTACCTATTTCCCAAATTATTCCAAGCAACAATTTTAGTTTTCAAGTAAAGGATTTATATAATCCATGTGTGAAGTGTCATTTCATCCTCTGCGTATCCTTTTAACAGGAGAACCCCAAAACTTACTATAGAAAGGCCTAAGGATGGCTTAGTGGTATTTTAAAAAATAAAAAAAAAACTATTTGGAGATATAAAAAAATCTAGATTCAAATCCCAAGTTCAACACTTATGCTATGTCCCTTAAGCAACTCACCCCTATGCTTTAATGTCAGACTTTCTAACTACATCAACCTCCTACTCCTACTTCTACTTCATGGGGCCATTTACTATCAAATGAGATCATGTATATGACAGAACTTGGGAAAGTTCCTCATTACCAGTGAAATAATAATGGAAACTAGATATAGAAAACAGACTTTTCCTCAAGACTGCTCTCCATTAAAATCTTTATAATCTTTGTAACTACACTGAGAGAAGAGGTTGGGTATATCCCATATCAAATAATAAAACAGGTATTTTTAAAAGGTGTCTTTTCAGTTTCCAGAGTTACGCAAAGCAGCAAAGAGCCCTATCACGCCATGACACAGCAGAAACACAACCCCAGTCACTGGGTGTTGATTCTGCTGGCAGAACCTGAAGTATTAGCAAAACTGCTCTCACATGGTTCAGCAGAGCCAAAAGCAGATCACAAGTTTAATCAGTGATCTGACCTCATCTGGAAATTTCTTCAAATACCACTGTCTAGAAAAAACAATACACAGAAAGTCACCCACTCAAAAAAACCCTAAGGCAAGAAAATGGACATAATCCATTTCAGACATTTAGCCACTGTCTCTATACACAAATGATCTCTTCCAGATGGAGAAAGGTGAATTCTATCTGGAAATTTCATTCAGGGATGAGGTGAACAAGGGGCAAGAGAGATTACAACAGGCCTGGCATACAGACACAAGTCACAAGAATTCAATATTTTATGTTTGCCAAAGCTCTGTACTGGCAAGACAAGCTGAGTCAGAATCAGAAAAACAATTTTATACTGACAGTTCTGACACTCAGATTAGATGCAATAGGTAGGTAACCTATGACATCAAGTGTCGAGTGCTGGTTTCTATCATATTTCAATACCAAATGCACCTTGGCTGTAGTTTGTTAATGGGCAAGGTACTGGAGGCAAATAGGTCTCCTAGGCTCTATCACAAAGCTCTATCAAAAGCATCCACCAACTCTCATGCTTTTTACTTTCAGTTTTATTTTTCCAAACTTGAGGCACATCACAAAATGCTTCTATGTTTTGGAGAGAACTCTCTAACGCCACAGGATAGGGCGAAGAGGGCAGGAAGGTCAGAGGAAGCTGTCTGGTACCTGGGCAGTCAGTGGGGCTGACCTTGGCTTCACCTTGGCGCAGAGATGGGATGAAAGTGTGCTGCACCTTAGCAAAGTCTGACAACTGCACAACTACCTTCTTGGAGCTGTCACTTTAAGAAGTGTAGTGTCTAGACAGCCAGAATAATACTGAGAACCCTAGGTTCAGAGTTCATTTCCCTATAAACCTCCTTTGCCTCCTGATTTGAGACGCCACGTACTAAGCTACTTACAGTATTGGATTACTTAATTATTCCCTTCTCAGCTTTCCCCCCAAAGAAAAAAAAAACTATTCAAGGGCATTAATAATGCTACATTCTTCTGTTAACATTACACACAAACCTGGCAGGTGAAATTCAGACCCAGACCCTAGAAATGCCTATGACTTGATGGTGCATTTTGCTACTTATTCATTCTATTTAACACTACAATTTAGGAACTAATCACATGAGCAAGGTATTCCACTCCTACCACTAATCTCAGCAGAAACCCCCTTCGGTCAACATCCAATGCATTTTCCCATGAACTAATGATACAAAGAGGAATCAGGCTATTCATAAAAACCGGGGTCCTGTCACCCATCACCTATTTCCCACATAATTTCCCTCTCCTAACAACTTTCTCTCTCTCTGCTTCAGCTATAATCTCAAGTAGCTGTCACACATCTCAATCTTGATTTGACAAAACATCACCCACTAATCCTCTCCAACTCCAACCATCCCTCTATTCAGCATGCTGAGAATTGAAGGTGTCACAACTCCTGTGGCCAGACAAGCTCCCCTCCCCTCCTGTGGTGCTAAGGCTTACTATCTTTCTGGTCACCCAAGCTTCCAGGCCTCCATCTGTCACCAAATTTTAGCAATCCTCCCCTGAAATGGCACTCTCTCACAGCTGTCTTTCACGACCTCCATTCACTGGCTTATGCACCTAAAAACACTAACATAACTATTTAATTGCTCCTTCCTCCCTTCAACACACCCAGACGCATGCTGCCAGTGATCAAGTCATTTTCTTGCTCAAAAGTCTTCAATGGCTCTTCAATGCCTAAAGAAATACTTGTTTTTGTAACTACTGCACTTTCACCTGTACTCAGTGTTTTTGCTCTACTGAGTTATGTACTGTCTAAACAAGACACTACTTTCTCATCCTTACCCAATGCACTTCTAAAATGCCATTTTCCTTTTCAAGATTCAGTAAAAACACTAAAATGTGTGAAATGTTACCTACCCAATTCCTGAAGTCAGAGTAAATCAATTGCTTGTGCTTTTTAATGGCTTCGCATTCTGAATTAGTTATGTATGCATACATTTCTCATTCCCACTACACTACAAAACCTTAAGGGCAGGAGTCAGGAACTACCCATATTCACATTCCAGCACAGTCCATAAAGTTCCTTATACTGAGGAGTCAATAAAGGTTGCATATAATTCATCAATTCCCAGTATTTCTCTTCATCAAGGTCTACATATGAAAGAGAGACCTAAAATGATCAAATCTAAAAGCTGGTCCGCCATGATGACATTCTCATCTCCATCAGTTTGTCCGTTAAGCTACTCAAGGTTCTATTAAAATCACTCTTCTCATAAGGGCATGGAGCATGATTAACAGTACCTGTTTCACTACAGCCATATGAAGCCCACTCTGCAAATGACAAGGCAGACCACAAAGCCTTAACTTAGGTCAAGTTTCAGGGCTGGCAAGAAAAGCTCTAGGATTCAAGGTAAGGTCAACTAAAAAACTCATGCCCCATCACACCACTGCCCATACAGTTCCTTTAACTTGTGTACAGCCAATACTAATAGGACTCTCCTCTTGACAATTCTGCTTTGGTGTTTAATGTCAATCCAGTTACAACTGCCTCACCTTCTCTATCTTGACCCAATCAATCCCTTTCACATAAGGCAAGAAAACTCAGGTCATTTGTTTCATCTTTCTCCTTTGTATCTAGGCTTTCTTCCCTTTCCTTTCCCCCGTTCTTAACTGAGTTGAAAGTCGACTCTTAGGAATTCTACCCCGAACAATACCATCACCACTGTAACGAGGGTATATGTGAAGCACAGACATTAAGGAAAAACACTGCCCTTTGCACACAAAGATGCAGTGACTCAGCCAGCATGAACAGGACCTGAATGACATTAAATCTTCCAGAACAGGGAACGGAAAAGGCAGTGCCCCACTGATATTCTCTCAATAGTACTCTAATGGTGGACATACAAGTATTTTCTTCTGGTTCCTTCAGATAGCAGGGAGACTAGCTGTTAAGCCAGAGCTTACTTAGATCATCCAAAAGGTAAATGTACTATTAGATAGTCAGTGTTAATAACCATCATAAAGATTATCTAGTAAAATATAAAAATGGATGGCAAAGTCCCAAATGAAAACTGATATGTAAAATTATACATATGTGCTATTTACCCAATCATAAAATATGAATATACACTGAAAAAACTAAAAAGATAATACACACAAAAAAGTTAAGCAAGCTGTGGAACATAAATTAATGTTTAAAATTGTTTAATATGTTATTACTACCTGGTTACTTGCATAAAAAAAATTTAGGGACTTACAACCCCCAAACCACTTACTTTGTTCAAGGATTTCTGCAAGTTGCATAGGGCGTGGCATCAGTTGTATGGCTGGAAGGCATGGGACTAAAGCCCTGTGAAGGCTTGCTCACACTCCTGTATGGGCATCTAATGCTAGCTATCAGAACCTCCCTGAGGCTGTGAGCTAGAACATCTACACATGGCCTGAACTTCCTCACACAGCCTGGGGCCTGGGTTCCAGAAGCTAGCATCCCAACAGTCAGAAGTTAAACCACACACACACACACACACACACACACACACACACACACACACACACACACACAAACACACACAGAGAAATACTACTCAGCAATAAAAAAAGATAAACTCACGCTATTCACAGAAACATGTATGGATCTAGAAGGGAGTTTGTTCAGTAAAGTAAGTTAGAAGGAAAAAGAATATATTGATGGTTTCATTTACAGGAGGAATATGGGAAAATCAAAGGATAAAAAAAAAAAGTACAAAACTTGGACCTCCCAGATGGTGCAATGGATTAAAGCACAGTACTATGAAGCTATATCCACAGCCACTGCAGCATGAGTTCAATCCCTGGCTAGGTATGGCAGACCTCTCCTACCCTGCCCGCTACTCCCCTCAGCAGTATATTTCAATCTGCCTGTTCTGTTCCCCACTGTGTCTGTGGTGAATCCTCTCACCCCTCCCCCACACCTCTAGCCTGTACCCCAGATCTTGTATGCATAAATAAATATATCTTTAAAAAAATACAAAACTTGCAGGCAAACTATAGATCTGAGACATACAGCATAAGGTGGGGAGTGAGAGATCAAAATGGGAGGGAAGAGCATAAGGGGCTATGGTGATGGTTCATGGGTAATGTGGTGGTGGGAGACTTATGGGGGCCACATCTGAGGGGAGAAATCAAATACTGTACAAAAATAAGATAATACTGTAAGAAAATAAAGGGGGAAAATAATTAAACCACATTTCTAACCTAATCTAACATATCACACAGCATCATATCCACCATGTTAAGTCACTAACGGAGGTCCCCATTCACAAGTTGGTAAATCTGATCCCACCTTTTTCTTTTTAAAGATTATTTACTTGTGCATACAGAGCTGGGGTACAGGCCAGATGTGCAGGGGCAGTGAGAGGATTCACCAGAGACAGAGAAGGGAGCTGCACAGGCAGATTGACAAAGTACACTGCTGAGGGGAGCAGCGGGCGGGTCAGGAGAGGTCTGCTGCGCCATGTGGATCACCTCCCGGGCTGGGGATCGGACTGGTGCTGAAGTGGCTTTAGCTTCTTAGTGCTGTGCTTTAACCTGCTGCGCTGCCAGGGAGGGTCCAGACCCCACCTTTTGATGGCTGATGTCAGAATCACTCAGGAGATGCTAAAAAAACACCCACTCAGACTAATTAAATCAAATCTTGGGAGATTCTAGTGCTCTCAAATATGTGCATTTAAAATTATTCTCCAGGCCACTCAAACATGTAGTTAGGGGAATGATCTATAGAATGAATTATATCTCTGAGTTTCCTCCACCTCTAAAATCACATACATCAATCCCAATTTAGGAAGGGATGAAGAGGCTTAAAAAAAATCAAAATAAAGATCTCACCTCTATTAAGAATACCCACAAAAAAAAAAAATAAAACACCCACAAATATAGGTATATTTTAGATGTACACATGGATAGATACACAGATGTATACTTTCTGAGATCAAATTAACCAATAAAATTAATCAATCAAATCCAATTGTATCTAATACTTCTGCTAAGTACAGCATTCAGTTCTTAGTGTCCATTAAGATCAACTTGGAGTAGTAAACCTTTTCAGAGCGTAAGACTGGACACTTTCAGAATCATGCTAGGCCATTATAGGTACACATCAATCCTTTATAGTCTGTCCCTTATCCTAACTTTACCAAGCTTGATTACCTATAAAACTCAACAGGACAAAACCACAAGGGACCCAGATCCCAGGTGAGTGAGTGACATACATCTCTCAGAAATAAGAGGTAAAAATGTAGTTCTTGAAATTCTAAATCTTGAGGCTACAGATGGGTACCTATTTACAAAAAGATATATATACACAAGTGCGTACATACATTTATACATACATACATTCACATTACTTCCATTACAATGTCAAAAATAATGTGCCCCAAACCAGTAACTTTCAAGAGGTGGTCAGTATAAAGTTTCATGGTTGAAGATTATTCCATGAACTGGCCCAACAACATGCACTTAATGAATTTCCCAGCCACATCCAAGGTCACAAGAATATATAGTCTCAATAAAATATAGTCGGAATGGAAAGGATTTACTCGACTATGAGCTTTAAAATACCAATTTTGAAAAGTAATAAAATATTAATTTTGGGGATATTTTCCAAATGGAATAGAGAATATATACACAATGGACCCTGGCCCTTTGTCCCACACAAATATTAAAAGCTACATAGAATTAGCTTAATTAGGTTAATTAACTCCTTTTTCTGTTTTCAAAGTAAGGATTTCCAAAGGTCTGAGTAAAGTTGCTTATAAACTTGAATGAAAGATAGACATCACTCACTGTTGTCTTCTCCTCCCCCAAGTTTACAATTATTCTAATTCTATATTGATATGTGTTTTTACAGTAGCCAAAGGGCATGAGTAGTAAGTCACATGGTACACAGGAACCCTGAGCTCTCTTGAAGATTTTCTTTGACTGAAATTTAAGAAAATTACATCAACTAAGTTCATTAAATACTTATTAGCAGAGAAACTAAAGACTGACTAGATTACCACTTCTCAAACTTTAATATCATGGGAGCCACATGCAAACTTAATTCAGCAAGTCAGAAGGGGACCCGAGACTCCATTTCTAACCAGCTCTTAGCTTATACATATGATGCTGGTCTCCAGGTCACTTTCTGAGAAGCAAGGTATTAAAAAGCCATAAAGATCTTAAGTAGTGCTCAATTAGATAGCAAAAATGGTCAAAAATGTATACCACTGGTAAGTCAGCAGATGGAAAAAGTCTGTGAATATCCATCAATGGGTCTGGTAAGTGAATTACAGAACAGACACAGACACACAATGGTGGATTATTTAGCCATAAAAAAGTACTAAAACATAGTGACAACTTAAGATGAATCACAAACATTAGGCAAATAAGAGGAGCCAATTAAAAAAAAAAGAAACACATTTTTCATACTTCTCTTTATAGGAAATACCCAGAATAGGTAAATCCAGAGACAGAACACAGACTTGTGGTAGCAAAGGGAGGGGAAACGAAAGATGAAATAGAGAACTGCTTAATGAGTGGTGGTTTGCTTTTGAAGTGATGAGGGTGTTGTGTAGACAGAGGTGGTGGTACAGAATTAAATGTCTATGAATAAAGTAAATGCCACCTGACCACTTTAAAACAGTTAATTTTATATCAATTTCATCTTGATTTTTAAAGTGTATATTAAAAAAAATCACCTTCCTTAAAAAAGCCAACATTCAATGATAAACATAAAAATCCCTTCCTATTATAATGTAACATTTCATGTAGGCCACTGAAACCTTCTAATTCTGTTTCTTCATTGATAAATCCAAATATTCTGTACACTGCAGAATTCTTAGGAATCAAAGGACAAAGATAAAATACTGAAAACAGTAGGATAGTTGGTTGTCAGAGGAGTCCTAACACATTTTAGCTTGAAAAACAGAAAAAACACATGACTTTGTGACAACCCAATACTACATGAATAAAGAATACTGTACTATTTTTACCATTATAAGTGCATTTTCCAAATTACACAGTGGGAAAGGACACTAAAGACTTGGTGGCAATGGGAAAACAGAGATTACTAATAAATCACCAAATTCTTAGCTAGACATGGTCTTGTGGTACAGATCAACTTCCAGGAACTACCTCTTCTCAGCTATTTCCTTTACACTGTGACCAGTTCAGCAGTATTATTAGGTAAGTTCTGACATATGTTAAGAAGTTTTTTATTCTTCTCCCCCATTACAGGTTTTCCCTGCTATCCAAAAGTAGAGTTCCTATTTGGTACAAATTGGTAAGCTATTTTTAGGGTCTGGGAACATTTTGCCATTAATTAATATGGAATAATATGTTTTTTAAAATATTTTTTGAGTGTTCCCAGAGCCCCCAAAAAACTAATTAGAATGTTCTACTTTCACACAGGTAGAGTAAACCTGTAATCCTTTTTGTGTGAATGCAAGATAAATTTAAGGTCTATTTAAGATAAATATTTGAGATAAGAATAATCACATTATTTATGTTAGCAGCAGCAAGTGTTTCAACAAATCAAAATAGTAAGATGTAGTAGGACATTGATTCTGCACACACACACACTCCTTTAATCTAAGCCCCACTCTCTACAATGAACAGAAAAAGTGTGAACTCATGGAACAGGTTCCTTTATTAAGATGAATCAAATGTACAAGGTACCTTAGCTCAAAAGGAAGATTGCTTAAAGCTTAAATGCTACAAGAACACATTTTTCTTTTGACTCAAAATGGCATCTCCCTTACTCTCAACTTGCTCCATTCCCATAAAGAGATAGCAATCAGCCTGATAAGAACAACTCTTTGCTACCAACACTCTCTCCCTCCTCTGTAAAATAATGATTGGAAACAATAACCATCAGCCAACACAACTCACCGCAAAGATTTTTAACAATGTCTTCATGTAGAGTCTTCGGATACCAAAGGAGACTCCAAAAATGGCTGGGACTATGATGAAAACGAGAAGGAGGGTGAAGAGGACAGTCAGGGAGATGCCCAGGAGGTTGACAATCAAGCTGTCAAAAGGCAGCAACAGGAACATGTTGGAGGATTCAGGCAAGGCTGATGCCCTCCTCCCCAAGAACAGATTACAGCCTTCAGAATGTCCTCACCGACAGCACCAGCCTAGCAACAGAAGCAAGTCCCCAAAGGACAACAAACTCCATTCCAAAGTTCACATCATTTGACTGCTGAAGGTGAAGCTTGGGAGTAGAATGAACATTTAAAAAGGGCCAGGGAAGGCAGCCCCAAAATGCCAAATCTCTCGAGAAGAGAGAGACGTTGGAGGTGAATGAGGCAGGCTCAATCCTCCGTACAAGCATCTGAGTCCAGACTGAGTTTCTGAGAAAATGAGCAATGAGGAAGGGACCTCTGCTCTGCTATCCTGAAGCTGCTTCCAGAAGTCTTACATTTTTTCCTGCTCAAGAGCATTTAGCAGATAAATCTGTCCTGAAGATCAGTCATTGCCAGAAGTACCAAGAAGAGTTCAGCCCAGTGCCAGAAAAATCTTGATAACTCCTGTGGAGGGGTGACTGCTGGCACTTCACACAGAAGGCTACTGAACTTGAATATGTGGAAATTAAATAATTGCTTTACTTAAAATTCCTTCATAAGTTGAAAACTGTTCATTATAGAGAGTTTATCTCTGGCCCCATTCTTCTTCCGGAGCGGCTCCTGGTGCGTGCTGCTTCCAGGACCCTCCTACCTGGAGAGTGACGGTCTTTGCCAGTAGGACACAGATGATGGCAGAAAATGTCTCATGCTGCCTGTGTTGAGTGTAATTCCAGACGTGGCTGGCATTGGTTTCCTCTGGATATTCTTCTCCCTAAGGCCCCCTTCTTGGTGGTGACCTGGGTTCTTGGCAAGAAGTTGCTTACATGCTGCCAAAGCTAGGAGTGGAAACAGAAACACTGTCAGTCACACAAATCAAGAGAAACATGAATATGCTTTGAGGGTGGGAGTAAGGGGACTGTTTTAGGGTAAATCTAGAGTCAGTGCCAGCTTCTCAAGTCACTCAAGGTCAGAGAAACCCGGCAGAGCAACAGGTGGCAGACATGGCCATGAGAGGAAAACACACAGATGTTTCATTCAGTTTTTAAACTTCTGTGATGTTATCTGTGGCTACTCAAACTTCCTGGATAAAAAGCACAAACATAAGATACATTTGAATAAAAGAGGTTATACTGTGAAAAGTAAATTTCCTCCTATCTAGCTACCCAGAGTTTTCTTCCGTAGATACAACCAATATGAAGCCAGCTTCATATTCATATTCTTTCAGAGACAAGGCCGTGCTTATACAAGGAAATCACAGCCCACCTTTTCTACCTGCTCCCCAACCTTGCAACAATAAGGACAGTATACTATACACATTATTCTTCACCTGCTCTTGTTTTTCAGTTTAACTTCTCTTGTAAGCATGATCCATCAGCAAGCAGAATTCCCTCACTCTGTTTCAATTGGAAGAATGTATGATTTAGTTAACTCATCTGAAGCTGGGCACTGATACATTCACTTTTTTTTATAAGTAATATAATGAATTGCGGGGGAAAGGGGATGAAGTTTTAATTTTACAAGGTATTGCCACATCATTTTCTACACAGAGATTAAACAACTTTAGCCTCTCTCCCTACACTGACCACTTTTTCTTTTTTTTTAAACTATTTTTAAAGCAGTTTTGGATATGTTGAAAAATTAAAGAGTACGCTATAGAGAGTTCCCTTGCACCCTCCTGCTCCCACATATATACAGTTTATCTCATTACTACCATTCCCACCCAGAGAAGTACATTTTTTACAACTGACAGACCTATCTACTTTAACACATCATAAACACCAGAGTTTACAGTTTACATTAGTGTTCTCTCTTGGTGGTGTACATTCTATGGGTTTTGACTAATGTATAATGACATCTATCAACCAGAATAGTACAATATAAAATATTTTCACTGCCCTAAAAGTCCTCTCTGCTCCCATGACTCATCCCTCTCAGTCCCAACCCGATATTCAATATTTTTACTGTGCCTTGTCCAGATGTCATACACTAAAAATCATACAATATGCAGACCTCTCAGACTGACTTCTTTCATTTAATAAGGTCATTCATTTTTAAAATCACACTATTTCCAGTATCTTACGAAGGTATCCCAATTTTGTACTATTCATACCTAGGCACAAATTACAGATTCTGCAAACCCCCAACTTGGGGACATCCTATCATGTCTCACATCAATTACCATCTCGCCCTGTCCCAATGTATTTGGATTATCAAAAAGATAAATATATGACTTCACCTTAAATTTTGTCCAACACTTTATAGAACCCAAGCCCTTTCACATGTTATCTTGCAAGCTGTCAACACGCAATTTTTTCCCCCATTATCAATTAGGAAATAAGTGAGGTATACACAAATCCAGTTCTTCTGACTCCTAACCCAATACGATTTGAATTGCAATACTACACATCTGGTGACAAAATTAAAAGCACAAGCTATTTCAGTGGCACTGAGTCACAAATACTAGGTTCCTATTTCTGATCCTGCACTTGCATTTTATCATTATTCCTAACATTTATTAAATGCTAACAACATGACAGATACTGAGCTCATTTTTAAGCTTTACTCATCTAACTCTCACAACAGTCCTACAATGAAGTTATAATTATCACAGTTATTTACAGGTGAGAAAAATCGAGATTTAGTGGATTAAGTAAATTATCCAGGATCAGAGAGCTGGTTAAGTGGTAAAGTAGGAATTTAGATGTGCATCTGTCTCAAAGAGTCCAAGCTCTTTAACCATATGCCCCCTTATTTTCCAAACTACCATGAAACACATGAATAGTTTCTTCATGCTGGGCCAGCTCCACAAAACTGGTGATCACAGAAAATCATCACAGCAAATCTAAATTCACCTATCATTGGAATTTGGTGTTATTCTCAGAATTCAAGGTACAAACCTGTTCTTTCATTTTATAAGCCAGACAAACTGATTGTAGATGCCAGATTTGTAACTACATCCCAACAGAAATTCAGGAGATTAAACAATCAACTTAGTTCACTGTCTTGAGCTGTGTTTCTTCAACCTACAGCTAAGCCTAATTCTAGGGGCACACCTCCATTCCACTCTTCCGTCCTCATCCCACTTGGCCAGCATTCCCATGGTTAAGAAACATCAAAGGGCCTCTGTCCCAATGGACAGCTACTGCCACATTGGTCAAGGTTACCTTGAGCTCCATGGATCCAAGATGACTGACATGAGGGTCACCCTGACCTCTCCTGCCAGAGTTTAGATCTCTCATCTCTGGATCACAATCAAATGAAAAATTCCCAAGATTATTATGGGCTCATGTCCCCAAGACACTAGAATAAACACATTTAGCAATAAATTTAATTTCTTCACCTAGTTCAGGGTTTGGTAAACCATGGCCCATGGGCCAAATCTGACTATATAGCTTGTTTTTAGAAGACTCATGACCTAGGAGTGGTTTTTACATGTTTCAAGGATTCTAACAAAACGAATAATCTTATGCGACAGAGGCCATGGCCTACAAATCCTATTTACAGAAATAGCATGTGGACCCCTGAACTCAGTTACCCTTTTCTCTCTCAGAGGTAATGAACTCGCCCCTTGTCATACTGCTCCACCCCTTGAGTTCTTGTTTATGAGTTCCAGACACCAGAACAGAGAACAGTAAGCTAGTCAAACAAGTTACCTGGCCAACACCAAACAAACCTCATATAAATTCTTGGAAGTAGAAAGAAAAAAATGACCACACTGTGGTTATCAAGCAAGGTTCCAAAAACCTTGCCAGATTAGCAGAGCAGTCATTAAAACCAGAGGTAACTGGTGTCTTTATATTCACTAAACACAGATCTTGATCTCTGGAAATATCAGAAAACTGCTGACATTGGAACTTAATCACACCGCAACATCTAGTTACCACTCTGCCTTAAGTAAATATAGCCATGACTCCTTAAGCATGAGGTGGGATAGGCAAAGAAATAGTTACTCATTCTATTAATTTTCACAGCTTTCAGCCAAATTCAGAATTATTTGAAGCAAAGTCCCCCCCCCCCCCGCAACCCAACTGGTGCAGAGAAAAAAAACTAATTTAGTGAACTCTGAGGAAGGAAGGTGACTTTTATCCAAGGATGGGACAGATTCCATTGTTAATCTAAACTCTTCAATCCACTAGTGGGGAAAATCTGAGCTGGTAGGCCCCCAAATGATCCAATTTTCAGGGCTTTTCACTTCTCCGAGTAACACTGAGTAAGTATTCCCTGGGCACAAGCCATGTACCACACACTACACATTCTGTTAGATGGTAGATATTTAATGATGAGCAAATATGCCTAAAAACAAGTATTAAACATATATAAAGTCATAATTTCAAATGTTGGTGATTATTAACAAGAGAATCCTGGAAGAGAAATTAATAGACATTACAGAATTTTAATTTAAGCAAGAGTATTTAAACCATTCTGACTGAGTCACAAGACAGGGGCTAAGACTTAACTACAGAATCAAGCACTCCTTTTCACACATGTTGGTGACACCTCCTACTTCAGTAACCTATGCCTTAACAGAAGATAGCGAGAGAGATGCAACATACCAACTCAAAAGGAAGACTTGTGATTTTATTAGAAGTAAATGCTTAACTTAAAAATTAAAAGTAAGTGTTCAGACTACACAGGAAAAATACATTTTAAAATCACACCAAAGGCCATGTGTGACAGATCAGATTTCATATAAGTAATGTATATTGTCACATTTCATTATGATCAGAAGAAAGTGAAAGTAATGCCTTCAGTTTTGGGTACCAGACTTTAAGAGAGTAAAGCATTTCAAAATACAATTGATCCTTAATTTATGATGGGGTTCCATCTCAATAAATCCAACGTAAATTGAAACTTTTAAGATATATTTATTTATGCATACAGAACTGGGGTACAGGCCAGTGGTGCAGTGGTGGTTGAGAGGATTCACCAGAGACAGAGTGGGGAGCAGAAGAGGCAGACTGACGAAGTACACTCCTGAGGGGAGCACAAGGCAGGAGAGGTCTACTGTGCCATGTGGATCACCTGGGGTGGGGGGTATAGAACTCACACTGAAGCAGCTATGGCCAGTTTGCAGTGCTGTGTTTTTTTGTTTTTGTTTTTTTTTAAAGATTTATTTATTTGTGCTTACAGAACTGGGGTACATGCCAGAGGCTCAGGGGCGGCGAGAGGCTTCACCAGAGACAGAGTGGGGAGCAGAACAGGCAGATCTACGAAATATACTGCTGAGGGGAGCAGCGGGCGGGTCAGGAGAGGTCTGCCGCGCCATGTGGTCACCTCCGGGGCAGACGGGAATCGAACTCATGCGGAAGCGGCTTTAGCTTCCTAGTGCTGTGCTTTAACCCGCTGCGCCACCAAGGAGGGCCTGCAGTGCTGTGTTTTAACCTCCTGTGCCACTTTAACCCTGTGCCACAAGCAAGGACCCTGTAAATGGAAATTCTTAAATCAAAAATCACTGAAAAGCACCTATTCTACATCATAGCTTAGCCTAGCCTACCTTAGTAAGTTCAGAAGACATATACTAGCCTAGCCACGGGCAATTATCTTAATTACATTCCACTTCTCACCATTAGTAGCAGTCACAGATGGCAAGTTTTGTAGACATGATGCCTCACAGAAATACAAAAACATATCCAAAAATTGCAGGCAACACAATGCTACGAAGTATCGATTATTTCCCTTGGTAGCTGCTTGGCTGACTGGGAGCTCCAGCTTGCTGCCAATGCCCAGACCTATAAAAGTGTATCACATCACAAATTCCAAGCTCAGGAAAAGATCAAAATTTAAACTACAGTTTCTACTAAATGTTACTTTTGCATCAACATAAAGCTGAAAATAG